GCCCCGCGCGTCGAGCAGCTTAAATTCCGCACCTGGGGCCCTCGCAAGGCCCCATCCATCGGCAGCGCAAGCCCAAGCTGTGATCCCAGGGCTGACAAGCCATCGAGCCCCCGCAGCTTTCCCCTTAGAGACGACCTCGAGCGCCTGCTGAGCCCGGACCTTGGCTGCCACCGCATCCTCGAGACACGGCGCAGGGCCCTCCGCGGCCTCCATGGGCAAGTTAGGGGGGCGACGCATGGCGAGAGCCTCGAGGCCCCCCCGAAGAGCTGCGGCATCGCCAACAGACAAGACGGCGGGGACCCAGCGAGGGATCTCCAACCACTTCCGCCCGCTTCAAACACAGCCCAAGTTTTTCCGAGACGACCAGAAAATCAAACTGTCCAGGGGATCTTGAATTCGGAAAGTGGGTGCGGTCAGAAGGGCTGACGATGGAAGCCCCCATCTTTTTGGCGACGCCCAGCTGGGCCAGAATCTCAGGGTCCACATTCTAGCCAGCCCCGACAATGCAGACGCACCCGGTCTCCTCCAGAAGCGCCCCACAACCTGGAGACTCTCCAGGTGCACATCCGCGAGACCTTCAGCGCGGCGCATGTCGACCGAGGCGACACAGGGCGCAGCGCCGCAAGGAGAATGAACCATTGCTGCCGCAGCACGCCCCTCGACAAGAACAGGCTAGCCCGATGTCATGCCCAAGGCTATCGCGATGACAAGCGCATATGAGGGCACTGATCAGGGGCTGCCTGGCTTCGCAGAATCCAAGGGCAAGGCCCGGCATTGAAGCGCGGCAGGCTCGCGCGCGGTTCCTGTTGCGAGACGAACATGAGGTCGCAGAACACGACGCCTGGGCATGCCGGCAGCTACCTCTGAGTCACTTGATGAAGAAAAGGAAGGAGGGGGAAAGTGACGACGGCGGCGACGGAAGGATTGAGCCATTAGTCTTTACCTTGTTACCTGGGCCCGTCGGCGCACGCAGTGTCGCGCATGCCGCAACCCGCCGCTGGAGCCAAATCCAAAGTATTAAGGACACGTCAAAGGAAAAGTCACGGGGCTGCCTACTGCGTGCTCTGGTTGCGGAAGATCAGCTTGGAGAGTCTCGGGCCTGCCGGGGCGCGCGCGGCGGCCTGCCGCGCGTGCCGCTCGCGCCGCGGTCGGCGAGGCGGTCCGCTCTCTCGCTCGAGAACTGGCCCTCGCGGGGTTCCTCCTCCTCTTCCTTCATCATTGTTCCACGACGCCCCCGTGCTTTCCCGCTCTGGGAACTCGGCCGATATGGTGGCCTGGCTGAAAGGCATCTCCTCAAGCAGCCTGCGCTCCTGGACCAGGACAACGCGGGCTGCTGAGGATTCCGCGAGGGTCTCCAGGGTGCCCCAGGCATTCGCGCCGGCGGCGACGACGAGGAGTCGCGCGGGCGAGGGCCGAAGCATCGGGGGGCCGCGGCCAAACCCAACGCGCCGCGCCCCGGTCGTGCACGAGACCGAGAAAGAATATGCTTCGGGTCGAGGCAACCGCGCGCCCAAATTGCTTGCCAACTTGCTGGACAGCGCGCGCCTGCAAGCTGAGACGCCAGCGCGCGGCACTCTCTCCGACGCACGAGGCAAGGCGCCGCGAGTGATAGGGGTGGCGCTGTGGAGCCCTGGGGGCGTTCTAGTTTCACGAGGATGCAACGGGGCGCTCTGAAAGAGGATTTGACCCCGTGAGCGCCCGTGAATTCCTGGGGGCGTCTACGGGGCCTGATCCCAAACGCTGGGGCCCTGGAGCCAATCGCTGACACTCGCCTGGCACAGAACAAACCCTTGGAACATGTAGAGCATAGGTTTCTTGCCGGTTGGGAAATTCGCCCCCGCCTCCCATCGCTTTGCCGCGACAGGGGGGGGGGAGTTCAATGCGATGTGGCGCCGGCCTTGTCTCAGACATCGTCGCCAGGCACAGGCAGGGGGGCCCCGCGTTCCAAGCCGGCCGCAGAGGTCGGTGGCTCGCTGGCGCCACTTGCATCGGGCACGCGCGACGCATCTGCGCCGCTGCCTGCGCTGCCACCCCCGCGCACCGAAGCAGCTCAATCGTTGCTCTTCCGCTTCTCGCCGCTGCGCCTGACGCGATGAGCTTCGCATTTCTCGAGGGCCTGACGACCCGCATGTGTAAATTGCTCGAGTAGCTTCTGCGCCAGCTCCTGCGCTCCCTTCGCCAAACCCCCCCGTCCTATCGCGATGCCCCCTTTGTCCGATGCGCCCAGTTCGACGTCGACCTCTGCGATGTTCCCGAGTGGGCCGTCGCAGTCGATGAGAGAGCTGAAGCCAACCACGCCTGCGAGGTGGCTCCAGACTTGAGAGCCCGCGAATAGGGCGTCGTCTCCTGAGATGCGCGATGTTGTTTCAAGTCTTGCAGCGCCTGCTGGCACTGGCCCTTGGCTGCCGCCGGGGGCCCGCGACTCTCGCGAAGGGCCTGGTCCTTCTCGGCCGCGTGCTCCTTGGGCCTGGCCACCCAATCAACCGCCCCAGCAACATTCCTGCAGGTGCTCTGATCAAGCTCCATGGTGCTTGCGCGCGCCTGCTGGAGCCCGATGCGAACTGGCGCAACGGCCTGTTTGGATTCGGCCGCCAAGTGCCGAGGTCTGTGGGTTTACCTCCGAGCCGTGACCATGGCCCCCGCTTGGGTGGCGACATCCCTTGGCTGCGTTGCTCATATAGCCGAAGTGTCGGGAGCGAGGCCCTCGAGGAGGGGCGCCCCCCCCCTCGCCGCCCCCCCCCCCCCCCCCCACCCACCCCCCACCCGCCGTCGCGAGCCGAGAGGTTGCCTCTGCCTGCCCCGCTACGCCCTTGCCCCTCGCCAAAACACTCGCAGCCTTTGGCGCCGGACTTGCGCGCGCCAGCCATCGAGCCCCCCCCCCAATTCCCGCGGCGACCTTGAAGGCAGCCCGCCCCCCCTCGGAGACGCGCCGGGGGCTGGAATGAGACGGCCGCGGCAGAGAAGCGCGACAATGCTTGCGCCCGACAGCATCAGGACGGCTCTCCTCGCAACCGCTTTGCGCGCAGACCGCGCCCAATCCCTTCGAGGAAGACGTCCGCCGCGGACTTTGGCTCCCTCGGCGCTGGGGATCGGCGGGACGGCCCCCGCCCCTTACACCCGCAAGCAGGAGCAGAAGGCTCAGGCGCCAGGAAAGCAGCGCAGGCGCGGACAGAAACGTTCGGGGAGAACCCCCACCGAAACATGGAGAATGGTTGTGGCCGCGCAGCCCCCGCGCCACAACGCCAAGTCCCTGCGCCTCCTGAGGCGGAGTCTGTCCTGCGAGTCGCGAATCCTCTGGCTGCCGCCGCCAACAGAGGCGCGTGACCCACCGCCCCCAGCCAGATGCCGACGTCAGGGAAGCCGCCTCGCGTTCTGTTCCTGTTGCCCAGGCGGTGGCGAGCCCAGCAGCTAATATTCCCCAACCGCGGCCGCGTCTCGACCTGGGCGGGGCGGCATACGTGCGCCACAGAAATAAAACAATCACGCCGCCTAGACACGTGCATGAGTGAGTGGTCTAGAGCGGCGCGCGAAACGTGGCAGCGCTTTCAGTGCTTGCGGGGGAGGCGCGGCGTGGCCGATCAGCTCGGCAGCATGCTGGAGCCCCCCCTGGAGCTTGCTCTTGGAACTGCAAGATTCAGCTCAGTGCCCTCTCGGCTCTCGGGCATGTGCGTTAGCTCGTCGACTGGTCGGGCGATTCCTTTTGCGTGCTTCTGCCAAGCGCGCAAGATTTGGACGCGCGGCCAGCACATGGCCCAACTGGCCTCAGCTTGCAAGGGCCCACCGCTCACACTGAATGCAAGCCGCGCGCGCCCGAATCGTGGCTCAGAACGTGCTGAGCTCTCCGCGCAAAGAGGCCTCCAGTCACAATGCTCGTGAGCCGGGTGGCCGCCTTGTGCCTGGACATTCGGCCGAGGTGTCCCTCGGCCCTGCTATCTAGGCCAGGCTCACTCCGTTTGCCCCTCTTTGTGCTCCTGCCGAGGTCAGCCTTCGCGGGGCCGGAGATCTATGTTTTGAGGAAATCTATGTTTAGCACCTGCAGCTTCTCTTGCGTTTTTGCTTCAGGCGCCTTCTCAGCCGCCCGTGTCGAGCAACAAATTGTTTCTGTCCCGTTTCCTCTGCGCCTTCTCTTCCTCCTCACCCTCCTCCTTCTCCTTCTCCTCCTCATCATCATCAGCATCAGCATCATCATCCTCATCCTCATCCTCTTCCGCCTCCTCCTCCTCCTCCTTCTCTTCCCCCTCCCCGGTGGCCCTTGGGTTTCCTCTCCTTCTCCTCCTACTTCTCCCCCTCCCCCGTGGCCCGTGGCTTGTGGCAAAACCGTTGATGGCCCTTGGGTTTACTCTACTTTTCCTCCTCCTCCTCCTCCTTCTCCTCCTCCACTTCCTCCTTCCCCTCCTCCTCCTCCTCCTCATCATCATCATCTCCTCCTCTTCCTCCTCCTTTTCCTCCTCTTCGTCCTCCTCCTTCTCCTCCTCCTCTGCGCCTCTTCCCACACCTCTTCCTACTCTGCGCCTCCTCCTCAGCGGCCCCCCCTCCTCCTCCTCCTCCTCCTCCTCCTCCTCCTCCTCCTCCTCCTCCTTCTCCTCCTCCTCCTCCTCCTCCTCCTCCCCCTCCTCCTCCTCCTCCTCCTCCTCCTCCTCCTCCTCCTCCTCCTTCTCCTTTTCCTCCTCCTCTTATTCCTCCTCATCCTCTGTTTCCTCCTCCTCCTCCTCCTTTTTTGCGTCCTCCTTCTCCTCCTCCTTTTCCTCCTCCTCTTTTCCTCCTCCTCCTCCTCCTCCTTCATTTCCTCTTCCTCCTCATTCCTCCTCCTCCTCCTCCTTTTGATGCTCCTCCTCCTCCTTCTCCTCCGCCTACTCCTCCTCCTCCTCCTCCCCCTCCTCCTCCTCCTCCTCCTCCTCCTCCTCATCCTCCTCCTCCTCTGCCTCCTCCCTTTCCTTCGCCTCCTCCGCGTTCCCTTCCCCGCGCCCCCCCCCCTTCCGCCCGCTGCCCCTCTCGGAAAGGACGCGGCCGCAGGCCTCCCCGACGGGCCTCCAGGCCGCGAGCGAGCCGCGTGGGGGCTCATGTGGGAGCAGAGGCGCCGCGGGCGCTGGAGGGGCCCCTCCTCCTCCTCCTCCTCCTCCTCCTCCTCCTCCTCCTCCTCCTCTCCTCCTCCTCCTCCTCCTCGTTCCTCCTCCTCCTCCTGCTCCTCCTCCTCCTCCTATCCTCCTCCTCCTCCTCCTCCTCCTCCTCCTCCTCCTCCTCCTCCTCCTCCTCCTCCTCCCCCTCCCCTTATCTCCTCTCTCCTCCCCCCCCTCCTATTCTCATCCTTCGGTTCTCTTCCCCCCCCTCACCACCTCCGCCCCCGAGCCCGTGGGGGGTGGGGAGAGGAGGGCGGGGGAGAGGAGGGCGGGGGAGGTGACAGAAGGAGGAGAGAGGTTGAGGGAGGAAGAGGACGAGGACGAGGACGAGGACGAGGAATCAGGACGAGGACAACGAGGACGAGAACGAGAAGGACGAGGGAGGGCGAGTGGAGCACGAGGAGCACGAGGGAGGACAAGGAATGGGAAAGGAGGGCGAGTGGAGGGAGGAGGGGGCGGGAGGAGGGAAGAGGGACGAAGGGAGGGAGGAGGGATGGATGGGGGCACGTGGGGGCGCAGTCGGGACCGCCCAGGCGCCCCCGAGCGGGTTCGCTGTTCGTTTGGTCCTTCCAAGGTTGGTCATCTACGGCCAAGACGCTGAAGGACGGACCGCTTTGGGCTCTGGAGGGGCGTCGGTTTTCGGGTTGCTCCTTGGGTTTAGGTCGTGAGATCTATATGTTGCCGAGGCTCGCCGCGGTTACAAACGACCCCTCGATCCTAATGCAGTGCTCCGTCTGGTAGCACGATGAGTACAAAGCTCGTCGTGCACCCAGGTTAGCCCACCACGCTTCGGCGCGACACGCTACCCATTTCCCGGCCCCCAAGCGTCAATGTCCCAAACATTTCCGAGCCTCCCGGCCCGCGGAGCGGAGCGACACGGCGTCGCAGGGGCCACTGGAAACGCTAAGCAACAATTCCCCACCCAAGCGAGGCTGTGGCTCCCTCGCCGCGCGTGCCCTGGGCTGGCGTCTTCCCCCGCGCGCCTCCCGGTGGGCTCGCCGTGCGTGCTCGCTCGCTCGCGGCGCACGTGAGACCTTGGCATCGCTCGGACGTGTGCATTTTTCGTGGAGGGCCAAGGTGGAACATCTTGGATCATCTGGCGAGAAAGTAGCACACGAAGTCGAGTAATGTACGGGGAATGAGCTTCCGAACGATGACAAGAGACTGTTTTCAGAGGTTCCGGCGATAGCCCAGGTCATCCAGTCCCCACCCTTTTCACTACTAGACATTTTTGTCGGTTGCGCAGGTCCGAAGGGGCAGACCAGGAGGAAAGAGCAGGCACAGACACAAATTGACACCGTGTCCCCAAAACAGGCATGGGACATTATGGGAAGTGGAGGGGAAGACGAGAATCCATATAATATGGTCACGTACAGGGATTAGTGGGACGTTTGCCTATTTCTGCGTGTGTCCCTGGGCCCCTTAGTATACGCAGCATTGGTGTGCGCGGGCATACGTGAGGCTGCCCAAAGCGAAGAGGATACATTGGCTGCCAGCACCTCCCCCCCTCCTCCCCTCCAGGTGACTTGGGATATCGCCGAAAATTTAACACTCGGGCGGGTGGTGAGGGGGGGGGGCGATGCAAGGGGTTAAGAAAATGGCCCTAAAGAGGTCCTCCAAGGCCTCTTTTGGAGCCAGCAGGAGTCCAACAAGGACCCAAATTGGCTCCTTGGAAGCCTTTCCTTCACCCCCCAAGTAGGCCCCCCCTTACCGCCCGCCCGAAACACGATCTCCATCAATGCGCCAGCGCAGCTGCGAGAGCTCACTCCGACCGCCCCTGGCGTCCGCGCGAGGGCGGGCGTGAGCCCCGCAGGCGAGCTCGGCCTCTCCCAGGTCGGCGCCGTCTACTTCGTAGTATTCCTCCCCGTCGTCCTCCTCCCCCCTTCATCGTCGTCCTCCCCGTCGTCCTCCCCCCACGTTTGTTGTCGTCTTCCTCCTCCTCCTCCTCGTCTCAGGGGGAGCCGCCGTTCCGCTCACCGAAGTGCTGTTTCACCGAACCTGCAGGAGGGGCCCCTTCTCTCTGCTCGGTTCCTCGGGGCCTCTTCAGGCCCCCACGCTGACGTGCGCGCCCCCTCGCTGCGCACTCTGGATGGGGCAGTGCGGTTGGTAACTTTGGGATAGCGTGCCGTTCCGCTGGTTTTGGTCCACCGCGCTGCGGCGCGACACGCTATCCAACTCCCGGCCCCCCGGCACCATCGTCCCGAGCTTTTCCCGACCCCTTGCCCCGCGCCGCCGCCGCGACACGCTAAGCAGAAGTTATGGACCGTAAGCTTCTAGTTCTCGCTTTCGGGAATCGAGGCTGACTCTGATCAACATCAGGGCGCCCCAATGCCCAGAGGTGGTCGGGCTGCGCGCCCCGCGCCGATCCCGCGACAACGTGGGTGCCGGCGCGTCGCCGTGTTCTTTGTCGGGTGAATTGTCCCGAGTGTCCGAAGCGCGATGGGAGCCAGCGCCGCGGGGAGGCACGACTCTTTCAGGCCGCGTGCGCCCCGCGACCACAGGGCCCATCAGTTAGCCATCCGTGCGTGAAGGCATGTCGGGCATGCAGGGGGTGCACAGGAAGAGCGTGCTGGAATGACCTTCCTCGTTCTCCTCGTCGTCCTTTGTCCTGACCCCAGCGACGAAGACAACGAATGGCCGCCAACCATGGCTAGGGCTCCTCTGGAGTCACAGTCGAAAAGGACAGAGAGGAGGAGGAGGAGGAGGAGGAGGAGGAGGAGGAGGAGGAGGAGGAGCAGGGTTAGGAGCAGGAGCAGGTGCAGGAGGGGGAGGAGGAGCGGGAGGAGAAGTAACACCGCGACAACGAAGGCAATCATGAGGACGAAGGCCAGGACGAAGGCGAGGACGAGGATGGTGGCGAGTCATGAAGCGGAAAAAAAACCTCGTGGAAAATCATTCCAGGACCTTCTGCGAATCTGCTTGCTGCATCCCTCGAGCCAAACCTCCACCCGCAACGGCCCCAGGGGCCCGAAACCGGGAGAGAGTGCCAGTGCGCAAAGAGTGCGGCCCGCCGGGACCTCAAGGAGGGCGAGTTGCGGAGGGGCCCCAATGCCATAGAGTTTGGATCTTAAGTTGTCAAGACCTTCTGGCAAGACTAGCCAGCCCGAGCGTAAGAGGAGCTATATAGGGGTAGACAGGTGGGATGGTCATTGTAGTCTTTGCGACTCTGACGCAACAGATGTGGCTCCTGTCTGGAGGGCTAGCAACGGTCAGTTTCCCTTCCCAAGGGGGGAGGAGCCTTTAGCAGGTGTATCCGCGCAGCCCAGAATGAGAATGCCATGGGGTCTGGTTCTGAAGCAGTTCTTCCCGCAGCAGTTTCGGACAACCGCTCCTCTTCAGGTCGGCGGCGTGCCAAGGGGCAGAGTGAGAGGGGGCAGGCCTTCTCAGCAGGCGGCGGAGAAGCCTCCTGGCTTTCCGAGAAGCCCCCACAGTGCCTTCGGAGAAGGCTCGCTTCTCAGAAGGCCGGAGGCGTTCGAAGCCTTCTGAGAATTACGGCCCGCTCTTTCTGCCTTCTAGGGAGCCGGCGCTTCACGATCTACGCTTCGCAGACGACGTCATGCTAGTGATCAACAAGCTGGCGGGTTCGAAGATGATGTTGAGGGACGTGGCAGCGGCGTGCAGTGCGCACGGCTTATCTCTACACCCTGGCAGGACGAAAATATTGACCAAGTTGCGAACAAGGATGGGGCGAACCTACACAGAAATGTAATTCACTGCGTGGCATGGACATCGAATTATTCAAAACGGACGATTCCGCAAAATAATTTCGGAAGGAATATATAATCTTTCCAGGAAGCCCACAAGGCGGAGTGAAACAACCGGATGCGCAGCGCTTGGAGAAAATTCTAAGCATTTAGTGGACGCTCTGGCGAACAACAAGTATCCAATCAGGACCAGGGTTCGTTTTTTCGAGTCCGCTATCACTCCGTGCGCATTATGTGGGTCGTTTTGTTGGACGTTCGCGGCAGACTTTGAGCGCGTCTTAGTCAAAACACAGCGCCAAATTCTACGAATGGTGGTTGGGTGTGGCAGGCGCCAGATCCAAACCGCTTCTCCTTCCAAGTCGGCGGCGCTGGGTCTTGCTTATTCGGTTATCCTCTTCTATTGACAATGTTGATGACGAGACGGTGGAGGGGGAGTATTACGTTGAATATTTGGCAGATTGGTTGCAAGAACTGCGCGGAACATCGAAGAACACATGCACGCGCAGGGCGTGTCTGACTGGATGAAACAATACAGGGAACGCAAATGGCAACGCGCCGGGAGGCTGTTGCAATCTGAACAGCACAAATAGTTTCACGCAGTTCTCCTCTGGGGGCTGGGACGCACGTGTGCGAGAAGGGGGCGCACTGGCAGGCCCCCTCGAAGATGGGAAAATTGTTTTACGGAAGTTTGTTCATCATATTCAGAGTTGGGCGCAGATTGGAAGGCCTACGCTTCTGATCGTCCGGTGTGGGATGATATGGACAAGTGCTACGTGGGCTTCCCAACGAAGCCATCCTATTCCATGCCATCGCTGCTCAGGGCGGGTCCGCCCGCGCCCCGGCAGCGCGCCGCTCTCCCCTTTACTGGGGCTGGCCTTCCGGCAGTGTTGAGTTGCTCCCAGTCCGAGTCTCTTTGCCTCCCCCCGTGGGTGTGCCGCCAGAAAGGTCGAGAGCGGTGCTGATGGGGTTTGTTCAATCCGCGGCCCCAGAGGCCCCAAACCCTCGCCCTGGTGTAGTTTTGCACTGCGGATCCGTGTTTGGCGGCCCCGGGTGCCGCAAACAGGCGCCGGAGTCTGAAATCGAGGAACAACTGCCCAGATTGGAAACAAGCCAGGTCGCTGGAGATCAGGGTATTTGCCTTCCTTTTTCGGGCCTCCTTGGAGGGTGTTGTTCTTCAATTAGGCTTGCCTAAGGGCTTCGCATGTTGTTAAAATCCGGGGGGTTATATAATTGCCCCCGGAGATTCCTCGGGC